AATTAAAGAGATAAAGGATGACAAGAAAAAACTGTGGAGTTTAGTGAATGGCATGATGGGCCGAAAGCCGAAATCCACCTCAACATATCTTGAGGTCGATGGGACATTTTTGACAAAACCAGTACAAATTGCTAATCATCTGAATGATTATTTTCTTGATAAAGTAAAACATTTTAGGAGAAATATGAATCAAACTATAAATAGTAACTCCACATTTCTAATAAAGGATTTAATTAAGAAAAATAAGAAGTGTACATTTAAAATAGAAAAAGTGACAATTACAGATGTTGAATGTCTACTAGGTAAATGTAATGATAAGCCACCAGGAGTGGATCATTTAGTTGGTACATTTCTTAGATATGTTGCTAATTTTGTTGCAGAGCCTATCTGTCATATTATAAATGTGAGTATTGATAAATGTATTTGCACACAGGCATGGAAAATAGCAAAAATTATTCCACTTGCAAAAAATCCAGCTGGACCATTTTCTGGTACAGCCGTCCAATAAGTTTATTACCAGCGTTAGCACAGATAATGGAGAGAATATTTTTCAATCAAATACAAAAATACTTTGAAGGTAACAAACTTAATACTGTGTATCAACATGCTTACAGACCTGGCCATTCCACATGCACCGCTTTAACACAAATGACAGATGACTGGAAGGGCGAACTATATCATAGGAAGTTAGTGGGTGCAGTACTACTTGGTTTTAGTTCTGCTTTTGATGTCATTGATCATTCTTTGTTGTTACACAAGCTGGAACAATATGGTTTTCATTTTGAAACGCTGAAGTGGTTAGAAAGTTACCTGACAAATCGAAGTCAAACTGTTTTTTTTTAATGGAAGTCTCTCAAAGTTGAAAACAGTCACTTGTGGAGTACCTCAGGGTAGTTGTTTGGGACCACTTTTATTTTCTATTTTTACAAATGACCTACCATTAGTGTTAGAAAAAGCTAAAATTGTAATGTATGCAGATGACTCAACAATATATTATGCAGCATCAACTACAAGAGAGTTGACAAATGTTATGAATAAAGATCTACTACTGATATCAGAGTGGGTCATAAATAATAAGTTGGTACTTAATGCGGGAAAAACAAAATCGTTATTAATAGGATCAAATCATCAGTTAAAAGGTGAACCAAAATTGCAACTACATTTAAACCATATTGAAATTGAACAGGTCAAGGAGACAAAATTGCTAGGTATAACCCTGGATCATAACTGATCTTGGTCTAAACAAATTGATAATGTTGTATGTAAAATGGGAAGGGGTGTGTCACTTGTAGAAATAATTGTTATGGATGTCAGTAGACAAGTTTTGGATGCTTTGGTTCTGTCGCAGCTTGATTATTGTTTGGTTATATGGTCTAGTGCTGCTGAAAAAGATTTAAACAAACTACAAGTAGCACAAAATAAGGCAGCACGATGTGCACTGCAGTGCTCCTACAGAACCAGAGTCTGAAATGCTGGAGACACTGAAATGGTTAACTGTCAGACAGAGGTCAACTTATATTTTATTACATTTTGTTAGAAATATTACAGTGACTCACTCACCAGATATATTATCACAAAGGTTTATAGCACAATATGCACAACATAACTATCAAACACGACATACAATAGAAGGAAGGTTTGTATTACCCAAATCTAAATCAAATATGGGACAGAGAACAGTTCAGAGCCATGATCAGCTGGAACTCTTTACCGGTCCACATCATTCAGGAACATTCTCAAGTACATTTCAAAAGGTTGCTAAAAAAATATTTAAGTATTATAAAGTACATTTGAACTGTGCCTGTGGCTATGTATGCATATATTATTATGTACACTTATTTGTATTTACTTTTGTTTGGCCTTAGGATGGCGATAATTGGATGACCATTTTAGTTTTCACTTCATACAGCACTGTAAATTGCATGAAATGATGAGCTATTTTGTTTTGTTTTAATGTTGTATGTATGTTTATGTATGTTTTGAATATGTGAAGACCCCAGGAAGAATAGCCAATGCTCATGCTAGTGCTAATGGGGATCCTAATAAAGACATAAAGACATATTACAAGTATATCAATGCCAGAACAATTCACTATAATAATATTATTAAAAAAATATTTAGACGTTCATCTTCATATCATCTTTAACTTTGTTTATTGTGCGTGTTGTCACTTTTTAGCAGAAGAGTCACACATAACATGAGTGAAGAATGTATGGTTAACATGCAATGTTCAGAACTCCAGGACGAACGCCAGGCTTCTCACCCGCACTAAGCCATGGCAACATATCACCCCCACCCTCATCCACCTCCACTGGCTGCCGGTCAAGTCCCGGATTCACTACAAAACACTCGTCCTCACGTACAAGTCCCTCCATACCCTCGCCCCCCAGTACCTAACAGACCTCCTACATCCCTACACCACCCCTTCTCGGAGTCTGCGGTCCTCAGACACGGGCCTGCTCTCCATCCCCCACTCTCGCCTTCGTACTGTGGGTGACAGGGCGTTCAGTGTTGCGGCCCCCACCCTCTGGAATGAACTTCCTCCCGATATCCGGAACGCTGCCTCACTGGACATCTTCAAATCCTCCCTAAAAACGCACCTGTTCACCATGGCCTTCGGACCTAGTCCTTTCCTGGTCCCCTGTCTTCCTTTATTTTATTTTATTTGTTCTTGTTTTGTTCGCTCCTCATTGTCTGTTTTGTTTTGTCTGTCCACCATGTACAGCGACCTTGGGTCCCGTGAAAGGCACTTTATAAATTCCATTTATTATAATTATTGTTATTATTATTAATGGAGTATTTTCACAATACTATCATATGTCTATTATTAAGATATACATTTTTAAAATAACACATTATCCTCAGTACCGACATATTGCTGCACTCCTAAGTTATTATAAGTTATTCTGTCACAGTCAGATGTAGTATACGTCTTTTAATCAAATGTCAAAGTAAGTTAATCAACAATAGTGCTGGGTAAATGTTGTGATAGCAAGGGATTATGGAGCCCTAGACCACAATAAATATGTCTGAACATTGTGTAATATTTGCAGGATTTGTCCAGTCCTTTTACTTTAATTGGCATAAAACGCAGACAAAGTATTTAATTATAACTAAAGTCGAAGTCGTCTAAAAAGTCTGCAAACCAAAGTTAAACATAATAATAAAAAAAACCTTCCATCTCGTCCAACAACAACTTTCCATCACTGGCTATCCAATCCTATGAAAATAATAACTTGTCTGTGTCTCTTGAAATACATAAAGTGGCTGGAAAAGTTTGAGTCCTGCCCATTACAGTGTGGCTCTGAATCAAGCAGCCTCCATGTTCCCACAGTGCAGTGCTGTAACACTTTCCCTTCCTGTCCTCACGTCCAAAACGTCTGTCCTCTTGTCACTGTGGCCATAAATAGCATGCCAAGTCCCCCCCCCCCCCCCCATAGTGTGGTAAAACTTTAACCATGGCAGCTCTCAAAGCAACGTTAAGCCCCTGAGTCAGTGCGACAGGCTCATAAACATGCCTTTGTTTACGTCTCTAATGGCTTATGCAAGCCTAGTTCGTGGATGTATCTGATCCCAACAACTGTTCAGGTGAGACATTTCCATACACTTGGAAAAGATGAAGTGAACGCATTTTTGTTATTTGACAAATGGAAATGTATGTAGAAATTGATAAAGAAATCCCTTATTACAGTTTTTTCAAATAAGATGTCCAAACGAGTAACTTTCACGCAGATATGTGTTGCTTCTAACGATATTACGGACTGTAAAGGACAGCCACTTCGTGTAAATGGTCACTCTTAATGTATGTCCGTCCCAGTTTGTGCCTGTTCCATCCATGGTTCTGACTTCTTCCATCTCGCCTTGTTGACAAAGCTTAAACCCGCCTCCAGCCTTCCGAGTGAATCGCTGATTGGCTTAGCAACACATCAGTCAAGCGTGTCTCAACGCTATTGGTTCCCCCACTGTCAATAAACACACTGAACATTGCGTTCCCACGTCTCCACTTCAATGTACCCGAAGAAGAAAAAAGGATAAACGGGCAGAATAAACTATCTTTAACGATTAAAAACTTTCAACAAACGTATTATAAACACACAGTAGTTTATATTGACTCGTTATTTGTAGAGTAAACACACTGACAGGCGGTTACAGTCCAGTAATTTGGTAACATTTTGCTCACCGTTTAGCCCGGAGTCTCCGTTCTTGTATGCAGAAGTAGCGTTAGCAGCGTCTGACATGGTGCCTAGCGAGCAGGGCGAGATTCATACAAATGTTGAAGTCAGTGCTTCAACGTGCACCGTCTTATCTGCACACACTCACATGCGATAGTATATTTAAACCAAGTGGTCTATTCCGTTTTTCAGAGCGCAGCTAGCTAAGCTAACGCACCGCCGCTGTTTGTTTTGTCGCCCGTGCGCTGTACTAGAGGCAGCAGCAGCCGCGCGAGCCGCTCGGTCAGACCCTTCCCGGAGCTGGGTGATGACGTCACGCTTATAACAAAAGAGGCAGCGAGGAGTGGAATTACATAAAGACGAGCAGGAACAACACACCCGATACACGGCATGCATGAGCTATAAGTATCGATAACTGAGCGGAAAATACATTTCAAACACGACATGTGGTGATAGATGTGTTCCGGTGCAGGTGGTGTGCACCCACGTACAAAACACATGCCAATCTGGACACCACATCAGCTGATTGCAGTGAATCTTCAATGGTTGGGTGTCTTTATTATGTCTATCACTCAGATCAGTGACACCTAGAATGCAAGGGGCTCCACATTTGCAATGATTTATAACCAGCAGAAACAAAAATAGAGAATCACTACACAGCAGAAGTTGTTCTTAACAGGGACCCTAGCTTTTCTTTTGTTATGTACTGAAAGCATAGATCTAAGATACCTTATAAATGATTAAGAAAAAAATGGACAACATGGATAACACATTTAAAAAGAACACAGTACTGATGAGATCTCATCAACGATCAGGCAATCACAAGGGTGCAAAAAGTAGTTCCTTTATTATCTTCACCGTCATAGATTAAAACTGTAGTTATACATTACTAGAGGCATCAATTTAATTAAACTGTCCACATTTTAAATATGTGTGGAGACAACACCTGCAAGTCCTGGTGCAGTTTTTGTACCATCACATTACAGTAGCAGTAATAATGTCTGCAGTAGTTTTAAACAAACACTTTAAGTGAGTAATGCCTCAAATAATGTTTTCTTTTAAACCGACAACACATCCAAGTACTTTAGTTGGTGCAGCAAGAGTCCAGTGTCAAATCAAAAAAAGGTTTTTCCCTGTTGTGAAGTACTGCTTCGGAGCTGTGGTACACCACGGGAAGACAATACTTAAAGATCACTCGAAAAGATGTGTAAGGTCCAGCTTCATTTCACAAAATAGGATGGAACAAATCTGGTGACATTTTAACTTTTTTTAATATAAATATGACAGTCATAATAATAATTTGTTAATAGGCTATCTCTTATACCTTGTCCAACACAAACAAAAGGAGGAAGAGGAACCGATGCACGAAAGACAGCGCCAACCAAAAAAAAGAACCTATTTTGTAGTCTGGACTTATTTTAGCCCGAGGCCGGGCTTTACATCTGTGAAGCAATCCTTAAACTCCTGGAGGCGAGCACTGAGTTGTTGCTGTCCTGCATGTCTCAGCAGCAAGAGTGGAAAGAAAACTGTGAGCATACATTTGTGACTGTTGGGTATGTAAGGTTGAATGAACCAGGTTTGTGAAGAATACTATGGCAGTCTAATGGTTGAATTAATAAAAAGGGGGATACACACAAAAAAAAAGACTGGCACATTTTTCTTAGAAAAATAAACAGGACAATGGCACAGGACAATAAGGGGAATTACTAAATAAGTGTGTTTTTACCACAGAGCCATTGGCAGGGGAAAGTTATAAAAATAAGTGTGTCTGTATTCTGATTTTTTAAGGAAATTAAACGTGTTGCCCCCGGGGAAGAAAAAGGGTAGACGGGCTGGCAAAAAAAATAAAGCCATACCAAAATAGGGCAAAGAAAAAGATTGGCACAACATCACTTAAACAACAAGGCAGGAGTTACTCTGCCACAGACAGGCTGATGATGGGCAAGAGCGAGGCTTCCTCTGTCCACATCTAGAACAAAGTGGCAAAGTCTGGTCACCCAGTAGCGACGGACAGGGATGCTGGTTGTCGGGCGTTACCGCAGATCACCCCTGGGTGAGGCTTGCGAGGCTGAGGGTGATGCAACGGGACGTCCCCCTGCGCCAGATCTCAGGTAAACTCACCGCGGGGTTAGTTCACTTTGTCCTGGAATATGTAGAGGTTGTTGGTCGTCGCCACGGCGATGATGTTGTCCTGGGGGTGCCAGGCGGTGTGGAGGATCTTCTTGTTGAAGTCCAAACTGTCCACGCTGATTTCGTCCTTCTTGCGCTTGCCGCCCGCACACACTTTGCGGGGCTTTAGGACCTGCATGGGCTTGCTGTTTTCTCGGGACGCCTCCAGAGTTACGTCCCGCCTCTGTCCGCGGTCGAACATCCGGAAGAAGTTGTTGTATGAGCCGGTCATCACCACACTGAGGGGGGGGGGGGGAGGAGAAAGGTACGTGAGCCTTTCACACAAGTAATGCTAGAATATTGTCCATAACTTAGTACTTCTGAACAGAAATGCATTGGCAAGCAGCTGGTATGGCTGCACAATAAATATAATTCCCAAATATGGGCTAGTCCTATATTCGAATCAGACGGCCCAATATTTGTTCAAAGTCTAATATTAAATATAGAATATATATATTTTATTACATTACGATGCTAAAAGAGCTTTGCTGTAATTTGTAGGCACCCTCAATAAAATAAAATCATATTCTAAAACATGCAAACATTTGATTGCATTTTCTTTGCCTCCCGCATGTACTCACCTGTCATTGCCATTCCAGCAGCACTCAAACTTGTCAAAGATGCAGTCGTTCTCGTACAGCGAGCACAGCTTGCTCCTCAGGTACTCATGAACCTGCAATAAGCAACGGCAGGTGTGAAAGCGCTATTTAAAGACTGACACATACAGTGTTAGTAGTGTACACACATTAGTGCAAAGCAAAACCATGTATTTACAGTGCCCCCGTGTGGCCACATTAGGGAATTACAAGGCAAGATAAGGCGTGGCCATTGTTAACCCTTAAATGCATAAGTGGGTCTTTTTTGACCTGGTGAGGTGGTTTTCTTGAAGTATCTTTGCAATTACATTTTTTTATCATTTCATATTCTAGCTATTCCTCAAAAAACATGTTTTAGATATCATGCCATTCACATTTTAAATGTACATCTTAAGAAATTGTAGTTTTTGTATTACTACCCCAAGCTTCCATAAGTGGGTCAAAAATGACCCACATGCATTTTCTATGGGATCCTCTGGGAACCTTAGATTCTTATCACCTGTGGCTGTCAGGAATACATTCACTGTGGACCACACAGACTACATCACAAGTGACACCTCTCAGGAAGATTATTTTACACAGCAAGATCTGATACCTGTCAGTATAATAATAATAATACATTATATTTGTATAGGGCTTTTCAAGGACTCAAAATCGCTTTACAATATAAGGGAAGGTTAGGGTGGGGGGTATAGGACTATCAAACTTGATCAACCGGCATGGATTGATGGGGGGTGGGCTATGAGTAGACAAGAGGAGAAGAGATGAGTTCTGAAAAGGGCCTGGAATACTGTGAGGGTCTCAGAATAGCAGAGATCTTTGCATCAATATGTTCAAAATGGTTTTTTTCAAAATGTAAAAAAAACCATCTACAATTCTAAATAGTGAAAAATGCAATCTAAAATATTTCTAGTGTGAACCAAAATATAATACTAAATTAAGTGATTTTTCTTAACCAAAATGACATAACACTTATGGAAGAGTGTAGGGTCCAGTCACTTGTGCATCTAAGGGTTAAGAAAGAGTAAAAAATAAACACTGGTAACATTATATAAATTCTACCTTAGTGGAATCTTTGTTTGGAAAAAACTGAAACATTTTTCTATTTAATGTTTGAGGTTACAAGCCCAGGTAAATTCAGAGAAGTGACATTTTCTTTTGCTTCAAATCAAGTGGTGTGATGCATGTAGCTGCTTCAAATGAACCTTTGTGGTAAAAACATTAGCTGTGCATCGCATACAAATTAAATGTTGTCAGTTACAATATTACTAACAAAAGAGATAGTAGATACATTACTAAACTAATACGTTACTGTTTATGTGTTTGTTCCTCTCACCTGGTAGGTCTCCACTGGCCTGCTCTCCATGTTCAGATCCCAAATCTTTACGGACAAGTAGTCTCGGGTCATCATGTAGCGTCCATTGTGGCTGAACTTTACATCTGAGATTGAGGATATGATCTCGGAGAAGAAGGAGCGATTACTGGGATCTTCAGGCTCCTCAAACACTGGACAAGACAGAGGAAGATATGATGAAATACAGTCAGACTTCAGCAGAGTCAGGTTTCTGAGTGACATTAGGAAGATGCGTGTGCAGACAAAGCTAATATGAATGACAGAGCTTATGAAGAGATATTTAAGCCATGAACTGCACACAAGACTAAAGTAATAAATACAAGAATTGGTATTGTCAAAATCCTAAACACGTTTGCAGAGTCTCTTCTTAGACCCCATTTACACGGGAACGCAAATCAACCGAATTCGAAAGTCTTCCTTTCACACAGCTCAATAAACGTGTCCCTTCACACGAGACCGCTCGACCCGCTGTAGTACATATATGCCGTAAGTGGCGCTGTACTTCCACTTAATCAGGAAAATGATCGTATAGGGCAGGGGTCGGCAACCCGCGGCCCTTTAAGCCCTCTGCTCTGGCTCCCTTGAGCTTAGACAAAAATAAGAAGGAAATAAAATAAAAGTATTTGTAGGACTATTTATATTTTGTTGCATGGTTGAAAATGTTTCGTATCTTGTATTTTGAGGTGATACTGTGACACATAAATAAAAAACAAAACGGTTTTAATTAGGTCAACTAAAATATGCGTCACATCCTGCTACGGTCCCGCGCGAGCGCCTTTTCTTGGAAGCGAATAACCTGACCCCCGGCTCGATGAGCGAACTATGGATAAATCAAAGAAAAGTACCGGAGGAACACAGGATTTAATTCTGTGTGGACAGAGTTATCTGCTTTCACAGCAAACGATGCTGGTTTACCGGTATGTTTGATATGTAGAGAGAAGTTGTCAACGGTGGTGCAGCCTTTACGTATCGAGGAACAACACGGGAGAGGAAGACAGCTGACGATCTTCAGTCATAATTCAATGGGGTATGTAATTTATTTCAGAACACTTATTGTTATATTCCATGGAATGCTCTTAACGTCCCGATAGCAATGAATATATTAAATGCTTTGACAATAAATACATACAAAAATTAATCTCTGGAAGCCGTAGCGCTGTAAAAAGCACGACCAATCATCTGAGCCGGCCCGGCTAAAGTAACTGGATGGCCTACCTGCCTGTCGGCCTACCTGCCTGTCAGCCTTCCATCTGTGCACAAACTTATCTGCCTCAAAGGTTGAGAAGGAGGGGCATTGAGGCTCCGCCCATGTTGAGCTCCCGTCCATCTTGAGGTACTGTGCACTGCAGTGAGGGGTACTACGCCCTCATTGGTCATGTGCGCGTTCGTGTGTGTTGGAGGAGGGGCTCTGTAAGAAAGTCTGAAGGAAGAGGCAGATTTTTTCCGGTTGTGTACTTTCAAATTCTAGCACACTCGAGCTGGTTTCTCCATTCTTACCTACCCTACCTTTAACTCTTTTTAGGGTGCAGCTATATGTTTTGTTTATTTCAAAGTGGGCCCATTTTAATAATGTTTTTTTTTCCTTCAAATGTGCAGAGGACTCCCCAAGTGCTGTGTTTAATTTATTTTAAAGTAGGCCTGTGTATTATTTTTTATTCTCCTTATAAGAGTTCTTTGTTTCTTATTAGAGGTTAACAGTTTTATATCATGTAATAAATAGCCTAATAAATGCAAAAAAACTGTAGTTTTTGTCTGATATAACAATAAAACACTATGAAATATGTTTTGTGGCTCCAGACAAAAAAATGTTTTGGAAAAAGGAGCAAAATGGCTCTTTTGGTCAAAAAGGTTGCAGACCCCTGGTATAGGGCGTACACACGGAGCCGTTTGCCCCCCCCCCCAGACAATTCGCTTGCAGATCTATCCACCTTGGGACCCGTTATCGTTTGCGGGGTCCGTTTCCGCGGTTCCGTTACGGCCTCGTGTGGCCGAAGGGCTATATGCGAGAGAAAAGTAGCAGATACAACCCGTTCCGTTCTCGTGTAAACAGCGCCTTAATATCTCCTGTGGCCACAATGGCTGGTAAATAATGCTCTGATAAAATAAATAAATACTGTACTATTACAGCTTCTAACAATGGTGCTTCTGGCAGATGAGCAGCGATAAACTCAGAATCTAAGCCAACAGGCACAGTGCAGATTTACATATAATTATTTAACATAAGATAAATAACGTATACATGAGGTATGAAAGCCACATCACACACGATGGATGGCAATGCACCATCGTTTCAGATTCGGTCATCTCAAACTGTGGTGAGGCCTGAGAAGCATCAGTTTAGCTTCAAGTTTCAACGTGTCCAATTTTTTTTATCAGTGCTCTGATGGTCACTTTTTTACTGACCGTTGAGCCTGAAGAACTCCCAAGCCGGAGAGCGTGTTGCGTTACCTGCGCAACCAGAAAATGCAAGCTGTCATATTGTTTTTAATACAGCAATATTTTTGGCTTCTTTCTTTTGGTCCTCCCACATTAAAAAGGGAGCAGGGTGGCTGGCTTACAAAGATAGGGAGAGGAGAGAGTGATGCTGCATTCAACGCAGAAAACGTGGGAGGAATTTTCCTATTTGGAAATACCATTCACTTCTCACAGCTCTCGGGTGTAACACACTGCTTGAGAATAGAGGACCGCAGTGACGCATCCTAAAACCTGGAAGTAAACTCCTTCCGGTTCCTTCGTCAAAACGCAATGCAATGTCTCCATAGGATTTTGGAAAATAGCTGGAAATAAGGTCTGTGGTTGAAACACATTTAAGAGACGGGTCACGGTTTGTTCAGTCGAATAATATCCACATGTCTACCCTACTTTTATCATTTTCAAATCATAAATCTAGTCGCCAGACGCAAAATGCTAACGTTATGCTATAAACGAACTACAGCAGGGTCGCTGCTTCAACGTCACGCCAACTTAAGATCCATATTCAAACATACAGACTCTAAATGGTACAAGTTGAAGCGTTTGTTTGAACAGTTTGCAGGTACTTGCTTTCAAGCAGAACAGGGCAAACAAACTTAGCGGGAGTGTTTTACGTGTTCGGCGTAATGACGTACAACGGCCTGGACAACTTCTGTTGTGCTATTCAGCCACTTGTTAACAACCATCGTTTTCAGACACGTAAACTCTTCAGAAATCACCAGTGCTGATGGATTTAATGTCGTAGAACAAAACGTGATCTGTCTCTTGAATGTGTGTCAACCACAGACCTTATTTGGAGCTATTTTCCAAAACCCTATGGAGAAATTGCACTGCTTTTTATCGAAGGAACCGGACATGGTAAAAATGCTAACTTACTTCCGGGTTTTAGGACACGTCATTATGTTCTTTTCTTAAAGTGTTGGCATCGTTTAAAAAAATATAATAAATCTTGCAGCATTCTTAGACAGCCGAAGGCACTTAGGAAACCACAGAGGCAGGTCAATGGTATGAATGCTACTGGCTGCACCTTTGACTGGAATAAAGTCTAATTTCCACTGAATGGGAAGCACGGCTCTACACGCTTTGTACTTTTCTTTGGAACGACTTTGTCCAAGTTCCAAACAATCTGAGAATACCAGAAGAAGGACTTGCAAAACTGCAGACTACAGATTTTGTGTCACTAGAGCAACATGGGTCGTCTTGCACAGGTCCCAAATACAGCTGTAAAAACATGTTTTAACTAAACCCAGATTTGTTTTAAATGACAACCCGCAAATATAAAGAATCAATACTTTGTGTCACAGAGTTGTGTACCTCCCTGCTAGTGTACACCCTTATTTGTTTGTATGTTAGGAAACACCACTATTCTGCAACGGCAAATCACGAGAATTTTTTTTTTTAGGACGTGCGATATTAAGTAGGCAAATTAACTCAAACACGTCATGTTACAATTCTTTTGCTGCTTGCTACAAAAGGAAAACTCGCGCGGCTCTCCTGTCAGGGGTACTTGAGTGAGTGACATTAGCCGCGTTCACACCAAGTACTTTGCCGTACTTAGTTCCCAGCACTTAGTTCCCCCATGGAACTAAGAGCTGATCGCGTTCACACCGGAATAAGTTCCCTGAGGGAAGATTACGCAAATGAAGCCGCTGACGTCACTTCTTCTTCTTCTGCTTCGGGTTTACTGGCAGGCCGCAAACAACTTCACGGCGTATACTGCCACCCGAAATCCCCGGCCGGAATTCCCCAACTCCGGGGACGCCTTCCGAGTAAATCGCCAGAACGCCGACCAGAGTTCCCGTTAGCCGGTAATTACCGGACTATGACAGGTAAAATATGCTGAAGACCAGCAAATCTAAATCTCTCCGGTCAAAATTATTTTCCCTTAGCGCAATTACGCATCAGTTGCGCCACTTATGTGACGAACAAGAAGAGTATGTGACAGACAAGAAGAGTATGTGAGAGACAAAAATAGTCAATTCTAAAGTCTAACACGTAATGTGGAGAAAGAGCTGTCCTGTATGGGTTGATTGTGCGTTGATCTGTTGGTAATGCCTCGGGGTTCCGGTGGGCATGTAAACAAATGCATAATGCCGTATACTTTGCGGCCTCGCCCGGTTGCATAGCGACGCTTATTGTTTAGGTGTCTTTTAATAAGCAGGTAGTCATATCATTAGCTAGAACTAGCTGGATCTGATCGATATGGACATAAACGCGAGAGAGAGATCAGCTGCTGCTGACAAGTCGACACGCAGCTCTGCATGATCACATGCAGCGGTGAGCGGAACAAAACACACTTCAGGTTAGAATATCACACGTAGCTATTTTAATTACCTCTCAAACTACCTAAACTAATTATAGTTATGTTTAGTTTTACTGTCGGGTCACTCATTACTGGATCCGCGAGCTGCATGATACTGACGGGCTGTTTATTATTCCCGTGTTATTGTAAGTAATTGTACACTTTTGATAATGTAGTTCATCTACTATAATTAGTTTGTTTAATATCGAATCATATCAATTTGTTTTAAAGCTCAATAAATAACAAAGACCTTTGACCAGCACTTTTCTAATTTTGTCCGGAAGATTTAAACTTTAACGGACATTTTGACCAGCAAAAAATATTCTAACGGGAACTCCGACGCCGACACCTCCTCATCACTCCACCGCTCCCATGTTTTTTTTTGTATTGCCATAAGTTAGTCGCTCTCCGTTGGTGCGTTGGGCTAATGCTAATAATGCTAATGCGAGCAAATAAAATGGCGGCCTCACAAAACCTTTCAGAGTTTTACGGGGCGTGGTTTGCAATTCGCCCAGCCAATCAGAAATTGGAACTTTTTTCTCCCCAGGAAAGTACCACCTCTCTAGCAGGCACTGAAAAGGGAAAAAAAGTTCTCATGAACTAAGTTCTCTTTTTGGTGTGAACGCAAAATCCCAGGAACTATCGGAACTAAAAGGGAAATGTACTCCGGTGTGAAAGCGCCTATTCAGGCTCTGCATGCACATCAAACCACCAATCACAATCATTCTTGATCAGATCAAAGCAGGATAACCGAGCTAGCTCAGCTTGTTACTCTGATAACTTAAGATCCAGAAGTCCGTGACTAAAATCCTTCATCCGGTTAAATATCGTAAAAAAAAGTACCAATTGTATATAGCATTAAAGTTCAAGAAAGGATGGTTTGCGGAAAAAAAAAAAACTGCCTTTTCTTCAATTGCTGTATTTTTTCATATCGCATGGGAAAATATATATCGCAATGTCAGTTTTTTCTAATATCGTGAAGCCCTAGTAGGGACTCACGTTTGGACTGCTTGTCGCACAGCGCTGAAGCCCGCATGTCACACAGACGGATGGTTCCTTTACTGCTACTGTAGACGAAGGTGTTACACTGATGAGGGTGGAACTCTGCCGCTGTGATCACCTCCGTCAGCTCCTCCATGTTGGCTGGTTTAATGTCAACAATGTCTTAAGGGCACAGGGTTAAGGGTTCATACACTTTTTCACCAATGATTTTCAATGACTTTTCCATGACCGTTACCTAATTTTCCATGAGCAAAAAAAATTACTCTTTCTCAACAGAACCACTGAAAATTGTTTACTTTAACATGGAACAGGAAAATAAGGTCTGCATATGAAACATGTTGTGCCTATCTAAACAAATCAAATAGTAGGCTTACTAGCTTCTACAACAGGGCTATTCAATTGGCGGCCCCGGGGTGATATTTACTGGCCCTTTGAGTATAATGTTAAAAAGTAATGTACTTTTTTTTGGGCCAGAGTGCCTTTAATTCAGAGAGGGTGTTCAATTGAGAGATAGAGGGGAAGACATTGCCTGAAAACTTCGGCGGGCTCGGGTTTCGAACCCACCTACTAGTTACTGTAGTGACAACTCCTGTCATTGATTGCATCTCTGCGTGAATGATTAGATCATTTCAAATGAAATGATGTTGATGGTTAAATTAGCTTCACATGTAGGCCTACAGAGTTCTGAACTTGCCATTTAGATCTATAAAGGCCTTGGGGCTATGTTGTTTGATTTAATTATTCATAATATATGCACTCCACTATGCTGTTGGAGTATTAACTGTATCTGAAGCTCTTAATATGATTGCTCATATTTCAAGCCATCTTTTTCCCAGCCCCTTGCTTTGGATCATTTTCATCAACCGGCCCCATTCCAAACTAATTGAATAGCCCTGTTCTACAGGCTAAAGCAACTAAAATCTCTCACCAGCAAAATACCTTGTTAAATGCCATTTTACTTTTCATTACTATATAGTATTTATTATCATTATAGTATTAATATTTTGGCGATTAGATAAAATATAAATTATATTTGATGCAACTTTAGTTACATTTCCATGAATTTTCCAAAACATTGGGAAAAATATTGTTTTCCATAACTTTTCCAGGTCCTGGAATTATCTTTTTGAATTTCCATGACTTTTCCAGGTTTTTAATGACCGTAAGAACCCCGATTAGTATGTAAGGATACTGAAGCTGCGGTCGGTGATCTCCAGGTTCCAGAGGTTGATGCGGAGGTCGTCTGCAGACAGGTAGGTCTCCTCGTCACTGTTGACCGAGATGGAGTTGATATGGTAGGTGTGAGCGTTGGCAAACACCCTCCGTGGACTGGCCTCCACCATGAGATCCATGGGTATTAAAACAGGAACCTGAGAAGGAGACAAACGGGACATAAAGGTGAAATTCATAATAAAAGACAGGAAGGAAATGTGAAGCTCTGAAAGCTCCTTGAAGCCAGTTCTAGTCAGTCAGTAATCCACCCAGTAGTTTATGTATTTAATTAGTTAATTGAAATAAGAAACACCTAGATTTCAGCTTTATAATTAATTTTAGGTTTTTTTTTGTCCATCGAACGAGAGTCTGAGAAACATTTTTAACTTCCATTGAGTTTGTACAGTGAAAATAGATTTCATCCTTTTCTTTTTCTCTTTTTTTTTTAAATGAAATGAAGCAGTTTACACTCAGGCCTTAAGAGTTAGGGCTGTACCTGAATATTCGTTCGTTGGAGTACTATTTGGGTTTCAATTTCGTTACTCGGATATTCGTTTTAGTTTAGTTTTTTATTGAAATCTCCAATATCCACATAAGAGCTTGTGCTTCTTCGGGGGGTGCCAACACTTAACCATAAACTTTATAGTTTACTTTCTCCGTCATTATATGTAGATATGACTTTTCTCCGTTAATCTCCGTCACGTTGTTTCCATAGCAACAACAACTTCCTGTCAACAGCGCTAACTCTCCTTCAAAATAAAAGCATGTCCATAAAACATAGGAAGCCAAGCCAAGTTACACTTAAGACATATACAACTGCAACGAAAGTAACCAACACAATGCAATATCCTTTTCAATTTCAAAGAACACAAATTGGGTTATATACATTAACAAATAACTATAAAACGATAATACTGTAGAATAACAAAATGAATGCCGTGAATAAACCGAAATACACGTGTTGAAGCGGTTCGCTGCTGATTACTATGCACCCCCCGCGCGGGCCGAATATTCGCGAGCCCGAAATGTTTTATTCGGGACAGCCCTATTAAGTGTCTGAAGAAATGTAAATAGATCCTCAGTTAAATGGTTTTATTCAAAATGTAATTATATACTTTTGCATCCTAGATTTTTCCAATTTGTTGTAGAAGAAGACATACTTTATAAGTCCCTTAGCTTAGCGATTAGCGGCTAGAGGTGAAATCCTTTATATCTGGTTCATCAAACAAAGCTAGTACCTGTCTAGATGAGGATAAGTAAACCATAGTTACAGTTAAAGCCAACATACCTGTGTTACACCCAAACAGGTGTTGCCAGTTTAGACTATTCAGGGCTTTGTTGGATTAAACGCAGCGCTTGACTCACATTTAACTAGTCCCTCCAAGTTGTCAGTTTCGTCACACCCGTTTCTGTTAGGACAGGAAAATTGACTCTTTTGTATTCTTTTATAGAATAAGTGAAGCCATACGGGTGCATTTTTAAGGGCTATTGAAGCATTGGAGTTCATTTCCCCTTCCAAAACAATCAGCATAACCACAGGTAGGGGTGCATACCGGTACCCGGTATTACCGAAATACCGGTTACTGGCGGCTACGGTATACCGTACCGAAATCAGATCCGGTTTTTGATACTTTTTTTTAATAATATCTCCTTAACTCCGCAAACAAGTCACTGTGGAGTGTGGGCCTTATTTAGAAAATCTAAAGTGTGGCTGCATATGACTGCCAGTCTGAATGGTGGGGTCTGTAACCACTGCCAGTCTGAATGGTGAGGTCTGCAACCACTGCCAGTCTGAATGGTGAGGTCTGTAACCACTGCCAGTCTGAATGGTGGGGTCTGTAACCACTGCCAGTCTGAATGGTGAGGTCTGTAACCACTGCCAGTCTGAATGGTGAGGTCTGTAACCACTGCCAGTCTGAATGGTGGGGTCTGTAACCACTGTGCCTGTCTGAATTAGGGATCGACCTATATGGCTTTTTCAAGGCCGATACCGATTATTAGTAATCAAGGAGATCGATAACCGATATTTGGAACCAATATACATTTGCAGTAAAATCTGAAAATCTTGTTGTCAAAATGTAGAATAACAGAACTTCTATGAAATGCCTTTTTATGTTTAATGAACTTTTCAAGAATCTTAAAACTGGTTTTCCTCTGTGACCCTGAGTAAAGTAAATAAAAATAAAAACGACTAAAACTTGTTCTGAACTTCTGATATTTGAGTCTCACTCATTTAGTAGTAGCACCAGATTGTGGTGCAGAAAGCAGAGTTGCTGCGAGGCTCCACTAGCAGTCGTCCCAGCGCGTCACAGTTCCTCCGCTGCGAGACACTACCCGCCCCCCCGTCCCTTTGTAACTGGGAAACTGATAGAATTGGATCATAAGATCGTGGTGTTTTTGCAACTTCGGCATAGGGGATGTTTATTGAATTTCGGCTTTCAACTGATTTACCTTCGAAACACCGCTCACTGCTGCTGCTTGCCTCTGTCTGTGTTCTTCGCACCTGCCTGTAATCTGAGAAGGTCCCGCCTTCTTCAGTGTTGATTGACACTTCAGTAATAGCCTATCAGATAGCGCTGTGGGCGGGACATTGCTCGTGAACAGTGGTGACTGCAGCCAGAGAAACGGCCGCATCAGAGCCAAAGTCGTATCGGCAATTTGATTTTAAAAAAGACGATACCGATAATCTGTAAAATGCGGAATATCGGCCTCGATAATCGGTCGACCCCTAGTCTGAATGCTGGGGTCTGTAACCACTGAAAGACGTTTATTTCTGGGAAAGGTGGCAACACATCCGACCTCCAACCAATGCCGTCTTGTATGGCAACCAAGTAACTTTGTGTTCAGGGAAGCAGCGTGCCAAGCGAGAGTGTTCAGTTCAGCAGGTGATATCCTACGCTGTGAAAGGGCCCGTCTGGATCCAGAGAGCAGATATGATTTAATGCACACACAAAAAACTGAACTGTGATGGGATTTGTTTTCTTTCATCAGGCAAATGTTGATTTTAATGATGCCGAGATCTCATGATCCGTTATGTGTTCTCTGGTCAGTCGAATCTCAGGTTGAATATTGATTATACCGGTGCTATTTTCTTTTTGCATTGACAAGGTGTTATTCACGCCTGATGGTTGTTATAAATGATATTGCAGAATCAGTTTTCTTCATAGATAACGTGTTTTTCATTGTTTGTTCAGTACTAAAAAGGTCCAAGTCCCACAATTGAATTTAATATTCATTTGACTCGTTAACTATATCATAAAGCGCTTCATGGGAGTAATTCCGGGATGATTCAATGTTTCCCTTATGCAACATGAAAGTATCGCGATATGTATCGGTTGAGTATCGGTATCGTTCAGTGGTATCGGTATCGTAAAAAAGTCAACGATATGCAACCCTAACCACAGGGCAGGTCATTGGAGTGTATTAACTCACAAAAAGAAACCTACTAAACTGGGAAGCACTGCTCTCTCAATAAACCAAGTAAAAAAACTATGAACTAATAAATGTGTAGAGACTCGTGTCAACACTGAGGTTGTGTCTGAACTGACCCGCAGTGACGTGATGGAGTTGGGGTCTTTGTAGCGCCCATCCTCCTCTTTGAGGTTGTAGCCCTCTGGTCTCTTGTCCCGCTCACTGATTTTCCACAACTTGATTGTCTTATCTGTCAAAAAGAAAAGTAATCGTGTCAATTATAATTAAGCTTTTCCGTTTTACATGATGTTCGGGTCATACATAGATTAAAAGGGTATACCACAGAGTGCCGCAGTGACGCATCCTAAAACCCGGAAGTAAGCTGCTCATGGGTTCCTTCGACAAAAAAGCAATGCAATTTCTCCATAGGATTTTGGAAAATAGCTCGAAATAAGGTCTGTGGTTGAAACACATTTAAGAGACGGGTCACGTTTTGTTCAGCCGGATAATCTCCACATGTCTACCCTACTTTTATAATTTGCTAATCATAAATCTAGTCGCCAGAAGCAAACGTTATGCTATAAAGGAACTACAGCAGAGTCGCTGCTTCAACGTCACGCCAACTTAAGATCCATATTCAAACTACAGATTCAAAATTGTACAAGTTGAAGCGTTTGTTTTAACAGTTTGCAAGAGGCAGGTACTTGCTTTCAAGCAGAACACGGGGAAAAACAAACTTAGCGGGAGTGTTTACGTGTTCGGTGTAATGACGTACAATGGCCTCGACAATTTCTGTAGTCCTATTCAGCCACTTGGTAACAACCATCGTTTTTCAGACACGTAAACTCTTCAGAAATCCCCAGTGGGGTCACTGCTGATGGATTTAATGCCGTAGAACAAAACGTGATCCGTCTCTTAAATGTGTGTCAAACACAGACCTTATTTCCAGCTATTTTCCAAAATCCTATGGAGAAATTGCATTGCTTTTTATCGAAGGAACCGGACGTGGTAAAATGCTAACTTACTTCCGGGTTTTAGGAAGTGGCACTCTATATCCTAATTGGACAAAGACACTACAACATAGGGCTGTGCGATTATGGCAAAAATGTAATCACAATTATTTTGGTCAATAATTGATATCACGATTATTAAAAACAATTATCTATTTACTTTGAAAACATCAATTTATTGGAGAAAAAAAATGTTGAACAGTAAGTTTTTAACATTTGATTACCCTGAACTCTAAGTATAATTCAACTGAAAAAACAATTAAACATTTTTTTTTTTTTTAATAAAAAATAATCGTTTTATTTTGATTACGTTGTTTTTGTGATCGTTGCAAGCCAACATCGTAATCGAGATTAAAATATGATTAATTGCACAGCCCTTCTACAACAACAGCAGCAGAATGGCCGGAGACGGGAGAGTTGACCAGGCTGTTTTTAGTTATTGGTTAAAAAGTGTTCTAATGTCACCTCTTTTGTATAGAATATTAAAGTAACCGGTTGCTTTTGACTCCACTCACCGTTAGTCGACAACAGGAACTGAGCAGCATTCTTCTGAGGAAGCCAGCGAATTTTGTTGATCTTCTCCTCTATTTCCAAACTCTTCAAGTAGTCAAACTCGGGCTCATGGCTCTGGAAAGTGCTGTAAACGTTGTATTCGCTCCGGAACTGAGGCAGATTCTTATTCTGCCCGACAGCAGAGCAAAAAACATCAGACATGGATAAACAAAAAGAACAGACGTTAGAAAAGAACATGCCAGTGACGACCTTTTTTATTCAATTCAAAACCTTTATTTATCCAGGTGAAATCCCATTGAGATCAATGATCTCTTTTTCAAGGGAGACCTGCACATTATATTTATACATTTGTTGAGTTTCAATCAAAAATTCTTGTCTGTCTTAATTGAGAAGTGACAGCTACTTTCAGACATAAAGCATAACACTAGTTTAAATGTAATCCTTATAGTACAACAAATGAGTCCTAAACCTGGAAAGGATTTTTAGAACTTTAAGTTTTTGATTAGATGCCTTAATAAAAGCCTACGAAACGTTCCCCTTTTTTATCCTTCGCCATAAAACGCGTCAGCAAATGCCACACTTTGGAGCTTTAACATTTCTTTAAAAAAAGGGGGTATGCTAACAAGTGACAAAATAAACTATTCAACATCACGTCGAACATGGCGTCCGACTTTATCTTAGTGGTCGCAGTCATGTGACCGTGATGCATTTTGTTTATAGCCTAATTTTAGTTTATTACTACTAAAGTGGTGTTACTATGGGGAGATAACCCTGCTGAACTAAATGTGTATCACATATCAAGAATCATCGAAATGTGTTTGCCACAGATCTTATTTAAAGTTCCCATTGCTTTTAGTTGAGGAACCAATGTCGGCGTACAAAATGTGCCGTCACTGCACTACTATTAATCCTTGATACAAAGCCGCTTCCAGAATAATCCTGTTTCTAATAGAGTAATTGAGTTCAGGGGGCGACACTCTCTAAAATGAATATTGTGTGGGAATAAAACAAAGTTGCAATGTACCTCTATTTCCTGCTGGAAGATGACGACACGCCCACCCTTGTCTCCTGTGGCTAGCAGCTCCCCTGTGTGGTTAAACTCAACTGTGGATATGATGTCCGCTGCAAAAACAACAACACAAACATCAGAAACTTGCCCATGTAGAAATGTTCTATTTATACATATAGCATATTTCTCGGTGCACAGACATAACATGACGAATAGAAAGGAGAAAGAGGAAGCACTCGGTTAATCCTAGCTAACCCTGGACGTGCTGGAGTCTGAGTGCATGACCGTGCAGGCCGGAGATGCACAAGGATGTCAGAGCATGTAGAGCAGACGGAAAATTATTAGTAACCTAGATTCTCCCTCCTTTTCACCCCCCATCCCTCACTTACACAGCATTACACGTCCACCCCTAGCAGTAGTGTGTTGCTTTATAAACTCCAACTCGCTCAAACACACTGACTTAACCCTTTGGTAGCCACTGGAGCAGAAAGACAATGCTGCAAAAGGTCGTGCTAGGAGGTCTTTGTGCATGTTGTGCCCCCCGGGGCCAAAAGTAGGGGGTCATGTATTTCAACTAGGCTACTTGAAAATCATTTTTCTATTAGGGCAGCAACTATCTCATTATTGTTCGTTTTCCAGTACTTCAACAACTTGCCCTATAAAATACGAAAGAACGCCCATCAGATATGGAAAAACAGCAACAGTAGAGAACTAACTGCATTGCTATGAGTGCATTATTTATTCATGGCTAATGGACGTTACTATCTATGGATGCTGCATGAATCAGGAAGCCAGGATGTAGGCCGAGGATAATGTCGCTCCACTGTTGGAATGTGTCAAAGGGTTGAAACATGCCAGACTGCTGCCGAACACCATGAACTGAACAGGTTTACCTTTACGGTGTTACAGTGAAGTGTTGCCATTCTTTAGATTCCAGCTATAGGCCATCCTTAGTGTTATTTACTACGCTGTGATTCAATAGAAATGTCTTAGGGATGGAAATCGTACGACACAAGACAATAAGCTGCATAACCTGACAATTTCTATTATTGGCTCAATGAAACATCAAATACAAAAATGAAGAGAAATGTTATATTCTTAAGACATATTCTATCAAAAGGATAAAGCGACTAATTAAGTATGAATATTTGCTGCAGTTACTAGCAATACACAGAAGAACAAGAATAGCTGTTCGTGATGCTTTTGAGTTGTATTGCTTAAAATGTACATCTATTTGTTTACCCCATTTGCTCTAATATGAGTAGGCAAAATAACAGCCACGCCTCTCTTAGCTACAAGGTGTAATGCAATGCAACATTATCCAACAAAGCACAGGCTAGTTACGTACATGTTTAAGCTCACATTCACAGTTAAATACCTTATACCATGAACAGCGTAGCATTGTGCTAATTCTACAGTTTAGTTTGCATGGAGACAGAAGGGGAAATTATTCATGCCTTGACAACTCAACAGAAATCTTGTTTACATAAACTGCTGTATTATGTTTGAAAGGCCTTTACACTAAGCATATGACCAACACATCTTCTTGTTCATTTGGTCCCTAACTTGAGTAATAAATAAGGCTGGACTTCCTGTCAAATATAAGGAGCCTTTTAGAGGCTTGCCAGTTGAAAGCCTTTAATGTAAAGCGGTGAGAGGAAGAAGTGTTTGGTTTGCATTAGAACTACCTTAACACACAGCTCTAATACTACATCAGAAAACAGGCTGCTGTATGATACAAGCAGAATCCAGAAGTGTAGGAGTGGAACTACAGGGACTTCTGTTACATGGGAGCTGCAAAAGTATGAGTATTTAACATAGTGAGTACCCATTATATTTGTGTCCTTGTGCAGGAAGGGCAAAGTTGAAATGTGTAGCATCACGGCAAGTTGCGGCTAAATTGTGCGACATCTAAGCGGCTATAGAACAAATAAGGAAGGTGTTGAGATGCTATTTGACCTCTCACTGAAAGTAGATGTATATTAGTCAATTTCATTTGTGCAAATGTCCCATCTGTCTTTTAAGCTTACAAATACTTTGCAGATATCATACCTTCAGCCACGTCATCATCAATGGCTCCTTTCACCTGAGAGAAGCACCACTGCATGTCACCTCCAGGTCCTGCAGAGATTCAAATATAAGTATTATTTTACATGTCAAGCTTGAGTTTCCCGGATCCTAACTGCGCTGGACATCGACTGTGATGTAGGATGAGAGGAACTAAGATCGCCAAGTTTCAACGTTTTTGCTGACGGTGAAACGGAGTGCCTAAGCAATAATTAACTACATGAAGTGGTATGTCAAAACAATGTACCGATTGTGTTCAGACATTCCTTGTTCATACATGCAAATAAAAAAGGAGTTTTAAATTCATCCGTTGTAAGGCAGCGTGGGAAAATCCTCAAAGTCTAGACGCTAAAGATACATGATATTAATATCCCATATGATCTTTAATCTATCTCAAATTAAACTCAATTGTGTCACACACACACCTGCACATCCATTTATGGTACGGCCACACCACGAGGCCAAAGAGAGTTATATTCTGTTATGAAATACAGGCCACTTTGATATTAAAGATTATAAACATTTAATGAGTCCAATAAAAGCCAGATTTTAACCTTGGTTTGTAGTGTTTTATTTGTCTCTGGTTATGAGAGAAAAAGCAGGTTGCAAATCAATTTCTTAATTACACATTTATCTCCAGATCATAATAACAGTTGGTGAATGTAGGGTTGAAACGTCTATTCTTTTAAATTTGGCAACCTCTTATACCAGCAGGAGATGCTCTTACAGCAAGCTACAATCATTAAATACATCAACAAGAAACAACATGCTGGCTTGTTCGTTAAGGACCTCCATCGCCCGCCTCAACAGGTTCTACCTTCAGCATCATTGCACAACATTGGTATTTAAAAAGCGCATATTTCTACGTGATCATTTATGTTATTACACAATGAGAACTGGTCTGATAACACCTTGTGGAAGAGCTCTGCAGAATAATCAAGGACATTTATGAGTCACCATTCTGAGATGAATCATGATTTAAAACAAACAGCCAGGAAAAGGGATGGTTCTGGTCAGAGCTAAATGAAGCACTGTGGTGGATTTCAGCATTCCTTGAGAAAATGCATAAAGGTGTTTAAATGGTCAAATGATCTCAGTCAGTCAGTCTCAACGAAAGGATGATGTGCAATGCCTCTGCCCAAAGACCAGTGTCAATTCCCCGCCCAAATGGACCAAATGCATGTACAAAATAGACAGTTGTGACCATTTCTTCCAGATGAATAAATACCCATCTATTACGATCGGCTATTACAGTTTGAAGTCGCATATTAAGTGTTATAACTCTATATTAACTGCACAAGTAGCAGCTAATGAATGAAATGTGAACTGCTAACGTAACGTTAGACTACAGAGATCCTGACTATCTAGGCCTTATTTGAGGGAAGCATATTTATGCACAGGCATCTGCATGTTCCCGATACTGGCTTGATTTTGTAGTCCCTTTACTCAGAAACTGCACAAAATATGGAACAGTCTGTTCAGTCTGCAGAAGGCCTGGAGTATTAGCCTGCATGTGGGCAATGTCAAAGTTTGAGCTAGCTAGAACGTTAGCATGCCTGGCTTGTCAAGCCAGTCATGGCATGTTTGAGGAATTGTGTGCACGGGAGTGAAAACCGCCAGTTTTACGTCAAACTATTTTGGCTAATGTGTTAACAGAAAATAAGATATTTTAAATTAGCCCTTTGTAAATCACATGCAAAAGTGAGAAGCAGCAGCCGTTACGGCTATGACAAGTTAGCTTTACATGTTAGTGTCGTGTTAGCTATGTTTGGCTAACACGGTATGCAGCGTTAGCTTGCAAGGCAGATCCCGGGCCGGCGATCGTGGTAAACAGCTATCGTTTGCTAGCAGCAGCTGGCTAGCTAGCTTGCTAGCTTTAGCCGGCAAAGACAGGCCAGCTACATGGGCGATGACGCTCGGGTTTGCGGGCTAGCTAACGTTAGCAACAGCTAGCTAAGTTGTGTTAGCTAGCAACCGTTAGCTTAACTGACACTGGGCTGGGTTAACGAAATACTGTTCCGACCGTCGGGGCTGAGAGCCTGTTGGAGCGGAGTCTCGTACAAAAAACGCCGGCTGTTGGTGGTGTTTATGTGTGTAATGGTTAAAATGAATTACCTGCCATGACGAGACAGACAGTGGAGCTTTCCTCAGTCAGTCACGATCCTGCTTCCCACTCCCACGCGCTGGTTCGTGGGATCTGAACTTTTCTTCCGCTGTCTGTCTGTCTGTGCAAACCTGGATGTCAGGCGCTAAATTAACCGTAAAGCAGTGATTTTATATCTTATCCTCCTTCTCTTTCCCGCTAGTCTCGCTGTTGTTTCACTATGGGTGTCACTCACTCTCCCCCTCTGTCTCTCTTGCCGCATCCCACAAGTCACTTCTTCCCCACCCCTCTCGAGTCTCTATCCGCACGTGAACTAAAGGCTTTTTGTAATGCGCGGGCACAATGAATGGCAGATGCACAAGCACGCGCGTGCACATCAGATTGGCCTTTTCAAGCATTTAATTGTATACAATTGTATTGAATAATTAAAGCTTGAAAAAATTATAAAAACACTAACAAATACCAATATAGTTCTTGTTCATGTTGAACATTTTGAGAAACAATGTGGCATCTTGGAGTAGGGTATCCTTAAATCTGACACATATATTTTTGTTTAAAACCCTCTCAGGGAATGCTTTTTGCTAAAGCTATCTAATGCACCACTCATTTTGATCTAGGAGGACATGTAATAGTCAGTGAAAACTGTAAAGCACCTGTCTTTTAATAGCAGTATTAAAATAAACACCTTTGTACATCCTGAACATATATTTCCATGGATGACTTTTGCATTCCAAAATAGGGCTTTTAGACAGAATTTGCAAACTAGATATGTCTCCTTTCCTCACATTTATTATCCTGCATATTGTAAAGCAGCCACAGTCTGCTGGTGCTCTCTGGAGGGATTGAAAAGCTTTTCAAATGTCTCAGTGCCACAAACGCGAAGGTCTTCAGACGTGCGAGTGAGTTTCACCACCCACGTGGATACTTCACATCTCTTTCAGAAGAAGGTTGCCCACGGAACAAAAGAGAAATACAGCATTAATGAGTTGCTAGGAAATGCAAGAATGTTAGAAATTCAATCAAATGGCCGGGACACGAGAAAAGAGGATGAATATTTCCTAACAATGAAGCTTGTTCAGTTGGAGCAGAGCTATCACAACTGCCCGTGGTGGTGCTGTCAATTTCCTTCCAGGCACTGCTTTCTGACACTTCACCTGTCAGGGATTTCAAAACCCTTATATCAACATTTCCAAAGACAAGATCCCCCTCAATCTTCTTCAAACGACCAGCAGGAGTGGACCCCTCTGCTGACCCAGCACCTGCCTCTCATCCCAGAGGCTGAGAGATGACACAAAAACGTATTATTATATAGCATCTCTGTTTAGAGCCTCAGAATTTCTGAGCTGTTAGCCTGAGATTCATAGGATGAACCACAAACCTTGCTGTCAGCTTTTCACCAAGACATGTCTTTGAGTTATGACTAATTGATGGCAGTAAGGGAAGCCCATTTCTGCCAATCTGACAAAAAAAACATGTTCTTACAAAGAGATTTTGCCAACAAAAACAAACAGACTTGGTATGAACTACAGTCGCTATTTTAAGATACTAAGTCATTCTTTTTATTTTCTTATTTTTATAAGTTTCTCATTAGTTTAACAAACCAGTCATTATTTTAAAACACTTTTTTCAAGATATAATGTCATTATCTCAAGATAACAAATCAATACATAGAAAAACAATCTTTTCATTTTTATATACTTACAATTTTTTAAGATAAGTTTCTCCTTATTTTGAAATACTTAGTTATTTTTTGAGATACTAAATCATTATTTTAAGATAATTGTGATGAGATAGTTATTGTTTAGAGATATTAATAAAGTATATCTTGTTATTTTTTGGATACTACAGTCGGCCATGTATTATGTCTCTTGCTAGCAAATGTATTTCGGCAATTTAAGTTAAAGGTCACCTATTATGCAAAATCCACTTTTTCATGTCTTTTATAAACATGTGTCCCCTCTGTGTAAAGAGATTCTGGAAGTTTCAGGAACAAAGACCCCCTCTCTTTTTGTCCTGATCCATTTATATAAAAACCTGAAAATGAGATGATCAGATTTTGGCCACTTTATGATGTCATAATATTTTTTTGGCTTGTGTAACCATTAGCCAATCACCAACCAAGGTAACTTGGAAACAGCACTTTTGAAACAGGGCTGAAACAGAGGGGATTATGGGATGCTATACAATGATCTGTTTGGTATTTCAGCCAAACACTTCAGAGACATGTTTTATATCTGAGACCTTTAAAACTATTGGGCCACCAGTAGGGGTTCGTGGGAAAACATGTTTCCTTGTGATTTGGTTGATCTGTCCACCTCATGTCCCCGGTCTCCAGTGTCCTGCTCTGCCTGTTGAGGCTGGACTTCCTGTCAGGCTGAATGCAGCTTCTGTTATACTGTCCGAAACAGCACGGCACAAAAACAAGACTTTTTTGTTGCGATGTTTTCATCCATGACCGGAGCCTTTCAATGTGTGCAGCTGCTAAATTTAGAAACTAGTTGACGAGACAATGCACATCAGTGACACTCATTTGTTTTATCATCTGTTAATGCAGGGCAACATGTGTTTTCCATGAATCTGTTGTCAACATATTGTCACCAAAGACAGAAAATAATTATTTATATTGCCCTAATAGGACATATTATCGTATTATATCATTATATTGTCAATCACTTTACAACTGCGTCGTTACCATAGCATACATTCATTATGTTTAATGTTATCAAAAGAAGGAAAAAGAGGATAAGTGAGACTATGTTAATGGATACTTTTTTACAGTATTTAAATCAATTGTCATGCTAAGTTATATAAGCTTATAATGCTACTCTGTGAATGCCTTTCTTGTTCAGTCAATGGTCTCATAATTGTCTAGTAAGTATGTCAGTAAAGATGAACACAAATGACCCACTGTTACTGTCACTGTGTCTTTTGTCCACCAGAGGGCAACCAAGATTTGAAAATGTGGGTTTACAATAAGATACAGGGCACTATGTTAATGGGGCCCTGTTGTGCTCATTTTCAGGTTTCATATTTGTATGTTGTGCCTCTACTGCGACATGTTTACATGCTTTAGTGTTCAAAAAGCTCTTTATTTTTCTCATGCGGCCTGTGCTGCAGCACCTCTTTTCACCCTCTGTCTGAAACCAGAGCCCAGTCTGCTCTGATTGGTTAGCTGGCTGTCTCTGTTGTGATTGATCAACCGCTTAGAGTTGTCACAACAATAGGAGCTAGCCAATAGCAGCTCAAGTGTTACATGGTGATGTCAGTATGTCACGGAAGGAGCCCAATTAAAAGGGTGAAAATAACTTTACTGTATGTTACTTTCTGTAATGTTGGCCAACACCAGTCGGTGTCCTCAATGACTGCAGGGCTCCTACATTTTCAGACATCTTAATACGAATAAATGATATTCTTAGGGGGAGTAGTGTCACAGAAGGCCGATCAACAAGACAGACAAAATAAAAAATAAAAAGTTCAACAGGGTAAAAAGCCTAATTCTGACATGGACATCTGATTTCTCTTTTATCCTTTGTATTGATGGGATTGTACGATACAAACTAATACATTATGTCAGGGGCTGTGTTTGCTAACACTATAGTGCACTCTGCCTGAGTTAATCACATACATAAACAATGGAAAAGATGGAATATTAACAGGATGAAACCATAACTTGCTCCAGTGTTTGCTTGACAATTGAACACCTGCAGCAGTCACCACCTATAGCTGTCGGAGTGCCTTTGTACCTTTGACCCTAAGTTGAAAAACAATGATTATGCACATTCTCCATTACAGTAAGTGTGTTAACCAGACTGTAAAGAAGGAACAAGGTGTGCCCAGTGAGCATCAGTGGGTGCAGTAATCTTCTATGCATCAGTAGTACACCAGGTAGGGGCAGTGTTGGACAAAGATGTACTCTGTTGGAAACAGGAAGTGCAGACCCTAGTCAGACAACCCCTGCCAAACATTTTTTAAATCAAATATTTTTCTATTCTTTTATTGAGTAATGGTTTGGCATCACTAAAGCAAAATAAAGTTGAGTGAATGTATGACCTATTAACACAAAAAACATGGACTCTTTGTAATCCGATTCAAAGAGCAAAACCCTCACCTTTATGACGCATGAAGTAAAATCATTGCAGACAAGCTTATTATTCATAGTCTCGATAGATTGCTGGACAAAAATGATTTATTTAGATTCATAAAGTCACACGTGTGCATGTATGGGCCGCCCCTCTGCAGCGGCGGTGCAGGGGAGGGTCATAACGGGGAGTGTCCCGGGCCAGAGGCATAAACAGCCGACTCGACGACTCTCTGCTCCCGCTGCAGCTAGAAGCGCTCACCGCGGCTATCTCAGGTCCAAACCGATCACAACCCACACTTTTCAGGTACGTTTAACCCCTCTTACTTCCACGAAACTATATAGTATAGTATATAGTATATATAGTATATAGTATAGCCTGTTAAGCACAGATTGCAGGACGCTGATTTAATGCCTTGATTACAGCATTATTAAACAGTTACTTTCCACGTAGGCCGGAACAAAGATTTGAGAGGCTGGGAAGGAAAGGGAGTACATTACTTCTTCTAGGCTGTACGGGTTTACTTTAACATGTTTGTCAAGCCCACTTAAAGTAGTGTAAACCCTGCTTTTATTGTCAAAAGTGCAATGCAGTTGCCTCCATATATGGACAGCAGTGGAAAACCTGGAAGATGATTACAAATGTTGAGTGGGCTTTAACTGCACATTCTTCCTGAAAGTGACGTCAACTTGCCATGATGGTGAACCCAAAGCAACATAAACATGTTATTATGCTGCATTACATGAAACAAAGTCACTTGTTTGAGCTTCTGAGTATAAAACCTGTGAGATTTCCTCAGCAGCTGTTTGCTCGTCTTTATTTAAGGATAGCTGTGGTTGCCATAGAAACCCACAACCAAATAGAGGAACTGAGGAAGTTAATCACAGCATCCTGCAACATGTGGTTATAGGGACGTGCGTCAGACAGTGTAGAGCAGGGCTATTCAATTAGTTTTGAATGGGGGCCGTTGATGAAAATGATCCAAAGCAAGGGGTCGGGAAAAAAGATGGCTTGAAATATCAGCAATCATATTAAGAGCTTCAGATACAGTAAATACTACAACAGCATAGTGGAGTGCATATATTGTGTTTAATTAAATCAAACAACATAGCCCCAATAACTAAATGGCAAGTGCAGAACTCAGTAGGCCTATGTGAAGCTAATTTAACCATCAACATCATTTAATTTGATTTAATTTAGGTGAAATTATCTAATC